ACTTTGGGAGGCTGAAGTGGTGGATCGTCCGAGGTCAGGAATTCGAGACCAGCCTGGCTAATGTGGGGAAACCCCATCTCTGCTAAACATGCAAAAATTAGCTGGGTGTGGTGGCAGGCGCCTGTAATCCCAGCTGCTTGGGAGACTGAGGTAGGAGAATTGCTTGAACCCGGGAGGTGGATGTTACAGTGAGCCGAGATCCCGCCACTGCACTCCAGCCTGGGCAACAGAGCTAGACTCCATCAGGAAGGATGGAAGGGAGGGAGGGATCGACGGAGGGGAAAGGGAAGGGAGGAGGGAGGGAGACCATTCTCTTTAATGGTCTGTGGCTTCACATTTCCTGGTCTGTGGACTGTCTGAAAGCTTTGATGGACGAACAGTGCTGGGAGATTCTCCGTCTAACCTGAGGAGCTGGTGGGGTGGGTGGGAGAGGAAAGGGCCCACCCTTTCTTGTCTGGGTGGTGTGCGTGTGTGTGAGCATGCGTGTGAGCACACCTGTGTGAGGGAGGTGGCAGCGTGTGAGCAGCCTTCAGGTCCCCAGTCTCCCTGGGGTGAAAGGCTTTGGTCTGGGGACGTGCTGTGCACACTCAGTAAATAGCTGCTGAGCCCTGTGGGTGCAGGTGATGGCTGGCTCGCTGCTGCCCTCTCCCGGTCAGTGCCAGTTGTTGCAGTCGCTCCCTAGGAACTAGAACTAGAACCAGAACAGAACAGAACATGGTGTCTATACATAGGATGGAGAATTTGGGCTTATGACACTTTATTGCTGCCTGAATTTTCTGCAGTTGTTTTCTTTTGGGTGTCCATTATGCTGTCATTTTCCAAGTGAACTTTACAAAAGCTTCCATCTAGACCAGAGTTTTAAAAGGGAGCGGTGTTCTCCTGGGTTGGGCTTATTGGACAAGGCAAGCATTGCGTGACATGAACGCTGCGGACAGTCAGGCACCCACCCAGCCTTTCCTCAGACCCTCTTTTTGCATGTAACTTGCTAGGCTGTGTGATTGTTTGCGAGAAGCATTTTTTTTTCTTTGCTAGAAAAGATGGAAAACCCTGGATCTCTTCCTGATGTCAGGGTGGGGAATTAGTAAGCCTCAGGAAATTCCATTAGAAACCTCAGGGGTGGTTTGTGTGGGTTCTGTGCCAAGCCATCCCTAGAATCCTTTTCTTTTGTCTCAGTCCTTTATTCCAGAATCAGGCCAGAGAAGCCCCAGGGAGGGTCTCCCTAGATGGCATGGCAGGACTGGGCAAAAGCTGCCCATGCCTCCCTCCTCATCCTCAGCCCTAAAGCCACGTCAGCCACAATCTTTCCTCTTAGGGCCAAGACCCCCTTCAAGATATCCCAGGAGTAGCTTCAAGATCCCACCTGTTCTCCTACTCAGTGAAAGCCCCTTCCCGTCAGCCTGTCCTTGGCTTCGGAGCCAGTGGCTCTGTTTAGGGCAAGGGCACATGTATTTCAGCTTTGGGGTAGAAACCCTTCTAAGAGCTGCGGACTCCCCTCCTGATTCTCTGAACTGGGCATTAAAGGCTGGTGAATGGGAGTTCAGGGGGACTTGGAGTCTCCCCCAGGTTGTGGGGTGGGGTCGCTGTGCAGTGCCCCCCCTGCCCCCAGCCCTTTCTAGGGAGGGAAATGAAAAAGATCCCCAGTTGGCTGGGCACGGTGGCTCATGCCTGTAATCCCAGCACTTTGAGAGGCTAAGGTGGGTGGATCACCTAAGGTAGAGAGTTCGATATCAGCCTGACCAACATGGAGAAACCCCATTTCTACTAAAAATTCAAAATTAGCCGGGCGTGGTGGCACATGTCTGTAATCCCAGCTACTCGGGAGGCTGAGGCAGGAGAATCGCTTGAACCCAGGAGGCAGAGGTTGTGGTGAGCTGAGATCATGCCATTGCACTCCACCCTGGGCAACAAGAGTGA